GTCATTCTGAGAAAGGAAACGGCTGACGGACTCGACGTAAAAAAATCCCCTGAATACAGACCGACCTCAGATTTGAAAGGGTCAAAGGTCATGACCTTACTTTGATCCTATATCCTTCCCTCGTGACCTCATGTTCCACACTTTCCCCAACAAATCGCGAACGCAGACGTCGGTCGGCATGGAGAAGACGTACTCCCTGACCGCGCATTACGACGACTTCCAGGAGATCAAGTACGGCAGCCGCTACGGGAGCAACACGCTGAGCAACGGCATGAGTTTGCATCTGGGCGGATCCTTAGATCGTGGGAGCCGAGGGCGAAGTGGGCGGGGCCAGTGCGTGGTGGGCGGGGCCACCCCTGGGGGCGGGGCTCCGGCCCGCTGGAGCCGGCGGGAAATCTGCCTTCTCTCGGCGCTGGTGTTCGCGGCGGGAATGTGCGTGATTCTCGGATGCATGCTAGCGCTGAAGTTCCTGTCGCTGGAAGCGCAGGATTCGCAGTGCAGGCAGGATTGCGTCAAGCGGCGTTCGCTGATCCGGGCCGCGCGATTCGTCCAGGGGAACATCGACCCGAGCGTCCAGCCCTGTCACGACTTCTACAGCTTCGCCTGCGGAGGATGGCTCCGCCGACACGGGATTCCCGACGACAAACTGAGCTACGGGATCATCACCGCCATCGGGGAACTGAACCAGGAGAAGCTGCAGCGCCTCCTACAGGTGCCGGTCCAGAGGAACGAGCCGGACAGTGCCGAGAGGAAGGTACAACTGCTTGCTTTTTTTATTTTTTATTATTATTTTTATTTTTATATTTATTTATTAATTTTTTTATTTAATAATTTTTTTATTTTTATTTTATTATTTATGTATTTTTATTTCATGTTCTTAAACACTTACACAACACTGTACATCAAATGTCTGTAACAACACATTTAATGTACAAAAACAAAACAAACATTGGGGCTCATATTACATGATAAGTAACATTGGACAATACTGTATGTACTTTGGATGTTAACAATACATCGCAATCAATAATAGCCACAGATATAAGCAATAAAATAGGGTTAATATAGTGCAAATGAAAAAAAGACTTTTATTTTATTCAAGTATGTATTTATTTCTAATGTTTTTTTTAAGAAATTACATAAATCAAGGTTATTATAATTAGCTAAAACCGAAACTAAAGCCATAAAAAGCACTTTCTTTAGTTGAAATTAAATAAATGTTGAATGAAATGAAATGAAATATATAAAACTTGTTTGTATTGTTGGCAAGCTTGTTGCATTTCTCATTTTCATTTAGTTTAACTTGATGCACTAAAATAACTAAAACAGTAACTGAAATAAATATTATACTGAAATAATATTACTGAAATAAATAACACTATATAGACATATTAAAAAATATATATATATATATATAAAATTACTAAAACTTTAACTAACATTAAAAATGAAAATGGAAAATTTATAACCTATATTAATAAAAACTATAATACTATCTCAACGATACTAAAACAACACTGGTTTAGACTTAAATCTACATATAATATACTGTATATATGTACAATAGTCAACATTTAAAGAGGATCAAAACCTTTCATCAAAGTTATACATGAATTTTGAACCCGTTCTTGTCTTTGGATAACTTTGATTAACTTTTTTATCCACTTCAAATATATATATATATATATGTCAAGCATCACTATTTCCTTTGCTCATACATGATTGGATTTACAGTATGTGTTTTTATTAAATTGCTCATTTTATTCAGAAAGTTATAAAATACTTTTTAAAATTTCACTATGAAAAGAGCTTAAGAAAATAATAAATGAAAAAAATATTAATTACTTAACGTTTAAATGTGAATGTGGAAAATATATAAATTAAACATCAGAAATATTATTTTATTGGATATTTTACTTAAACCATATGATTGGATTAACAATTTGAATTTGTTTTATATTTTGTTGCAATCGTCTCATTTTTTATTCAGATTGATATGAAAAAAAAACTTATATATATTTCTTAATTTTACCAGGGAAAGATCTTTAAAAAAAATATTTTTCATTGGGGTTAAATTATACTTTATTATAAGTTCAAAAAACCTTTAAAACGTATTATTTTCTCCCAAAGGTGAAAGAATTCTACCGCTCGTGTATCAACATGAAGGAGATCGACCGTCTGGGGGCGGGGCCTATGACTGAGGTGATCGACAGCTGTGGTGGGTGGGACCTGTCTGGAGCTCCGCCCAGAGGGGCGGGGTGGGACAGTAGCTCCGCCCCTGTGAGCCCGGATTTTAATGAGATGCTGTACAAGACTCAGGGATTATACAGCACATCTGTGTTCTTCTCGCTCACCGTCAGCGCAGACGATAAAAACTCGTCACGCAACGCCATACGGGTGAGACTAATTCAGTTCACGTTTATTCCTACAGCGCTTTTCACAATACACATCGTTTCAAAGCAGCTTTACAGAAAACGCATGAGTCCACATTACATTAAGTTATGTATTTCAGGAATGTACATATACAAAATCACAGTTAGCGAAACATTTATTCATTTAAACAATGTAGTAATTTAATGTTCATTGAAGTAATGAATTCTTGTATGACATTTAGACAATACTAATAAAAGTTATATTGTGCTGTTTTTGTGTGATCTGGTGTGTGATTGCAGATTGATCAGGAGGGTTTGACTCTGCCGGAACGAACTCTGTACCTCGGACAAGATGAAGACAGTGTGAAGGTGAAGCTCTTCCGTCTCTCCATCTGTCGCTCGCTGTGCGCTCACATGTCTAATTGATCGGGTCACAGCTGGTGATGATGTCACAGACGAGCTCGTGTCCATTAGTAATGAGGTCACAGCGGTGCCTCTGTCACGCTCCGATGACATCAGACTTTTACTACAATGCAACTACAAATTTAAACTGACAAGCCAAGAAGAAATCCCACTGAGAGATCAAAACAAATGTGGAGTATTCTCAGGAAAAAACACCTGTCTTTATGTCTTTATGTTGCCGGGCAACGATTAATCACGATTAATCGCATCCAAAATACATAATATATGTGTGTGTACTGCGTATAATCATTTTGTATATATAAACACACACATGCATGTATATATTTAAGAAAAATGGGTTATTTATATATGAAATATTTATATTTATATATAATATAAATATATATACATGCAAATATTAAATATATACATTCATATGTGTGTATTTTATATATACAAAATAATTATACACAGTACACACACATATATTATGTATTTTGGGTGTGATTAATCATTGCCCAGCACTAAAAATATAATTTCTTAATATTATGGTGAAATAAGACCTGGTTTTTATTATTGGTAACTCAGGCATAATGTGAGATTTGCTTTATTAAAAATACAAACAATTGACGTATATAATAAAACATCCAGATAAGTACAAATGCAAGTGTTTACATTTAAATAATAATAATACAAATAATTGGTAACACTTTACAATAAGGTCGTATGCTTTAGTTTATTAAAATATGTCTATTTAGTTAATGTCATTTTTTTAATAAATGAAAAATAATTTGTTATGACAGACAAAATCCTATGAAATTCATCAATAAAAACCTCAAAGCATGGTTTATTAATGCTACTTTTGCTTTTGTGTATGACATTTACCAAATAAAGTCACAAGATTCAGCATGACGGTAGTTTAACGGAGGTTTTTCTCGCTGACGTCAGATTCTGGCGTCCTATAAGGCGCTGATGGAGCGATTGCTGAGCATGCTGGGAGCTCAAAACGCCACGCTGAAGTCTCGAGAGATTCTGGATCTGGAGATGAAACTAGCAAACGTATGTATCTCGTGTGTGTTCTTCCTCTCATCCTTCCCTCGGGTCACTTTGACCCGGAATTTTATTTTATTTTTTGTTGAAAAATTGAGTGTTCATTAGAGGACTTTTGTCGCACACACACAAAAAAATTATGAATTCAAGGAGTTTTGTGGTTGATATTTAAAACAGTCACACACGCTCTCGGCTCAACCTGACCCCCTTAGGAATGAGTGGAATGCTTCAGTATACATAGAAAAACCTCAAAATGCTCAAAATTCTAACTAAAAACTTTACAAATTTTTTTTTTTATAATGTCTACTTATATTTTATAATGTATAATGTTTATAATTAAAAGGTTTAGGCATGAAATTTTGAATTTAAGTTGAAAGATTGTGAGGAATGTGCTTCTAAATGTCTATTTAGTTATTATTTATTCATTGATCAAATCTAGTAATTTAAAGGAAAATAAAATAAAAAATCTCCCAAAAATATTGCATTAAAAATATTATCAAAATTAAATAAAATATTTCTGGACCATTTTAGATTTTAGGGCTTCAAGTCATTGTGACGCGCGAGGGAAGGGTGAGGGTTAAGTTAATGACTTTTAAACCGTTCAAAGGAATCACTTGAATGAACCGACTCACTGAATCTGAAGGGAAGTGATTCTGAACTGCAGGGTGTGCTTGTATGAGTTTGTGTGTGTGGTAAATGTGTGTGTCTTAATGCACGTCTTTCTTCTTTCTTTTTGGCCAAAGATCACAGTGTCTGAATACGAGGAGCAAAGAAGAGACATCAGCAGCATGTACAACCGCATCACTCTGAACCAGCTGCAGAAACTGGCTCCGAGCGTGAGTACACACACACACACACACACACACACACACACACACACACACACACAGTTCATCACGTATACAGTAGAGAGTGTTTCACAGCAGCTTTACAGAGACTACAGGACAGTAATGCAGCCGAGTGTGTGTCCAGAAGAGTGTGTCCACAGTCCAGCTTGAGTCAGTTCAGGGATGCGTCATTTCTGCTGTAAAAAAGTTATTAATTTAGTTCATTTATATGGCGGCTCTGGAGTAAACCGTGATGTCATCGTCTCTTTGTAGTTTTGTAGTTGTATGTCCAGAAGTGTAAGAATAGTCTTGATTATAAGCTGATTTAAGCACTGGCTGTAACACATGT